GGAGGGTTGAACAAGTGTGAGTTACAGTGAACGAGTAAGAAGATGACATTAATAAAGAGCACGGGAAATATTCATGGATTGGGTAGAAAAGCTTCTAAAGCCGAGGTAGAATGGATCCCACTTACAAATGAATGAGCCTGCGTTTGTGTGTCTTGTCCTTTTGCGTTTACTGACAACTGTTCATCAGGTCTGTTTCAAACTTGCCATGTGTATTGCCAGGGACCCGAGGAAGGGCAGCGTCGAGTTTGACGTTGTTCGGATCAGCAGCGCTCATGTTTTGGCTAAATGATTTATGTTTTTCTTTCACAGCGGTATCCTCAGCCGGCCTTTGGCTGCTTTTGAGTCTGACACAGTGGCTACACTAAACACATTCATGGATCATTCACAGAGCGGGTTGCTGCAACATTTCCATTATATTCAGTGGATCTGGCTGCACCAGGCATTTGAGCAGCACACAAGTGGTGCATATGTGCCCCAGAGAGACCCGCTCTGCACACATAAAACAAACCAGTGTTCAATTTGTGTTTTTCCGCCCTTTTGTGCAGAAAAAGGTCAAAAAGTTGTTATTTCCCTATGCTAGATTGATTTTTAAAGAAACTGACCAAGTGTTGATCACCCTGCTGGCATGTGTTTGCCAGAACCAGCTGACGGTTCCTTAGTAACTTTATCCCTTATGGAGGAAGAGATACTCATGCAAAGACCAATGTGGACTTTGAAATCTGACCACAGATGTGCATTCAGTTCTGTTTATACTATAATAGGTCTACATCAGTTTGCGTAGACGGTCACACTGCGCCTCATATTGAACACAATTTTACAAGACGTAGCAGCCGTTTATTAATTCCTGAGGTGTATCGAGCACAATGGGCAGACACAGCACAGGATTTCTGGAGAATTTAGAGCTTCCCAGTGTGTTTTGTCTCACATATACAAATCAAAGCTCTTCTAGCAGCGGCTACTTTAAATACAACTTTTTTATAATCAATTATAAAGGTGTGGATGACCAAGAATCCCATTGTACAGAGTCTGCTCATACTTCGTGCACCTCTGGGTTTTACCTACTGTCCTTATTCAATATGTACCAAGGTGAGATGGTTCCTTTATCCTTACATTTTTTTGTTTTGTGTATGAACTGTAAACTGCAGACCAATGAAAAATGCTCAGTGGGAGTTTGTATAAAGTGGAACAGCAGCTAGCCCTGATGTAATGTCAGGAGTTAAACACCCCATTGACCTGAGAACCTTGCTCAAAGACCACTCAGCAGAGTGTTTGTTCACTGACACAAAAGTGTGAACTGAAGGACAAATGCATCAGACTGTTTAACACAGCAATTGTAGTTCTTAGTATTTTCTTCTTCTTCTTCTTCTTCTTCTTCTTCTCATACTCCACAGACACAAGCACATTTTCACATACAGCTAATAGGGCAGAAAATATGATTTGTTTATGTAAATTCATATCACTCAGCGTGTGACAATCCTGAGATAAACCCTGCCGCATCACACAGCCCTTTTTTTAATTACCTTATTGTGCCGTCTCCTCCTCGGCAGCAAACTCCTGGAAGGAAGAGGCTTTTTCAATTAGGACTTCTTCCCCATCTGAGCTCCAATCCCTGCCACACACTTTGTTGTCGTGTGTGCGTGTGAATTATTTGGTAACCTTTCTAATTTCACACTTGTTAAGTTTCCATGTAAAAGGCAACATTTTAGAAAGAAGCCCTCAGGATGGGTGAATGTCATTTGTAATTGTGCGCCACTGTGTGCGTCCCAGAGTGTGTATGTATATGTGGCCGCTGATGGTTCATAGATAAGTAAAGTGAGTGAAATCAGGGCGCAGGTTTGAACCTCTCAAGGGGATTTTTTTGGTTACACACTCTTGGACACACACATGCAAACACACGGACAGAATACATCACCGTACTGTTGCTTACATTCCTGAAAGGAAACAAGGTGATCAGCCATTTGCTGTACTTGGTGATCTCAGACCTCCGTTACGTACACCGTGCTGTGCGTGTTTCATGATGATGATTATGCTCCCTTTCTGTTTGTTTCTCTCCCTCTCTTTCTCTCGCTCTCTAATTTATGTGTTGTTGTTGGAGCTGGTGCTGATAGGCCCAGAGATGGCATTTAGCTAAAGAGCAGAGAGGCTGTTAGCTTCTCCATTCATCTAATCAATCTCACTAATGAAACCACTGTCCTCTCCACAGCCTCTTTCCTCCCTCTCCTCTCTCATTCTGCCCTCTACTCTCTCATCATTTGCTCTCCTCGTGCTCTTATCCTTTTACTTTCTATCCCCTTCGCGTTCTCGTGGCACCCTGGCACCCATTCTCGTTTTTGTTTCCTTCCTTTCTGTCCTCGCTTCCTTCAAACAGCTGTCCTAGATTTCACCAGCAGCAGATTCGTTCCCAGTGAGGCTGCTTTTTCTGGTGTTTGCTTCCTCCATTTCAGCAAAAAAAAAAAAAAAAAAAACATGTCTCCTCCCTCCCCCAGCAGAATAGATGGTGGATTGACCCAGTTAGGGTGAGAATGGGTATTGTAGTAGGAGTGCAAGTGTGCCAAGGTGTGTAGATCTGCGAATTTGTGTGTTTTCCCCCCACATGTGCACACAGAACTCCACATTCCTGCAGCACATGCATGTGGATTTCTGTGTTGATCCTGTGCTGCTGCTTTAAAAGAGCAATTTGGTCTTGGAGGTGAGCAGTTTTCATTAGGATATTGAGGTAGTACTGGAGGTGCAAAGGTGATTTTGTTAACTATGATGGTATCAACATGTTCGAGGGCCTCTGGGAAAGATTTTGCATTGATTAGTTGATTGGCAAATTTGATATGTGGTTCACTATTTAAGTGATTTTTTTATTTTTATTTATTTATTTTTTTTAGGAAAAATGCCACATGTGATTTCTGTACTTTTGCTACAATCTTAATGATGTTATGTTGGACTGCAGGCTGTTCTGGTAAAAATGTACAAAGATGTTTTACATTTTAAAGGCTGAACAAGTAATTAATTCGTACACTGCAGGTGAACTGATTTTGAAAGACACCGTTAATTGCAGTCCTCCAGTTTGCACATTATCTGACTTGGAGATCAGACAAGGCAATGAGATAAAAATCTGGAGGGATTCAATCGAGAGCACATGTTTATAGGTTGCGACACCTTTTGAACATTTCAACAAATAGCATGACTTTATCAAACAAGTGCTAGATGGTATGGCCTGCTTCCAAAATTGTTGCACATTAACATTACAGTGCTTATTTTAGGGCCTTTTTCTCTGCCAAAATTATTTTTGTATTGTACTATGAAGCTCATATGCTCATATTGTACAGGTGTACCACTTTGGACCTGAGAAGGTGCAGTGTTAAGTTTCTTAAAAATTGGATTTTGTGGGCTTTCTGGGGCCCTTGGATTGGCCTTTGGCTGCCTGTGGACAGAGCCTAAAGACAAGACTCAAATGGATGATGTCTTAGATTGTTGTTGCAGACTCGATGTGCAAACCTAGAGTGGATAAGGTTTTGATAGGTTTTTTATAACTGACATTGACTGTGTTAACATGGATTTGAGTGTCCTGGTTATGAGCAGGCTTTTTAAGTATCTCAGTTTTGCATTTACACATGTAAACAGCATATTCCAATTTCAAAAACCTGGTTAAACTCCTATCCAGTTTTGAGGAACCCAATTATGCTAGCTGGAGTATTGTCGCATGTGTGCATCGTACCTTGGTTTCCAACAGCTGCCGACTACCTTCACAGGTCCGATTTTTAGCCAAATGACGAACAGAAACACAACACAAACAATATTCTCCACACCTGCCCCGTTTGTACAACACCATGGCCATCAGTAACCGAGCTGCTGCTCATACTGTTGTTTCCTCTGGTGTCATGAACAGTTCAACTGGGTCACAAAGCCGGTAAAAGGATGCTCTTCTCACACGGAAATTTTCTCTCCATTCGGGGTCACTGAACTCCATCAGGACCACTCTATAGTCATCTTCAACCACTGCTGTCTTGTGCTACGAGGTGGCGGTGACGGTGAAGGTGATGGCATGACACTGGTCAAAGTGGAGGACATGTTTGATATTTGATATTGCTCTCATCTCTGATTGCTGACAATTAGGTGCATAAGCCAAATCTGCATGTTGGCATTTAGCATTGCTGCTATAAGCCAAAGTGTCTTCATCATCAATAACCATGAGTAAGTTCTTTTAAAGGTGTGCTAACGGTTGCAGGAATGTCAGATTAAATTGACGGTTAAACTGCCAGACACCAGTGCAGTAATCGGATACTAATATTTATTGTGTATACAGAAATATAAATACCTAGATTTGTCTCTGCTCCATAAAAATGTTATATCCTCATAATTATCCTGAAAACGGGGTGAAGCGTCATAACCTGGCTGCTGGTTTACATGTAATTGGTGATTATCGGCATATAAATGCAGTTTCGCAGAGAACCTTCAAACTTCTAGCCCCTTTTTCTCCACTTCTGTGGTTTCTGGTCTGCCTTTAAAAGACCATTTGGATTCAAATGTAACTGAAACCAATCTGAGATTTTTATTTTATTTTTACCTGACTAAAAAAATAATGCAACAAAAATATACCTTAGTCACATTTTTAGTTTGGAAAGGAGAAGTAATAAAGTGGTGAAATGTCTCTTTAATACTGTAACTCTATGTAGAGAGACAGGGAGAGAGAGGAGAGAGAGAGAGAACTGCCCTCAGGGTCCCTCTGTTTCTCTTCTGCCCCTCTGAAATCTGTATTTGTGTGTCTGTGTGGGACTACATGTGTATATATTACCGTTAGTTTGTGTATGTAGCCTTGGGGTATTGACGTGTGGTGGACAGAGACCCTACAGAGAGCCTTTGTGAAGAAGTCTTCCCTGCAGCAAGGTCGCTCCTTCCCTCCCTCTCTCTCTCTCACTTTACATCCCCTGCTTCTTTCCTCCCGTCATGACTGCTATCTCCGTCCATATCTGTATAGTTTCTGGGAATCATTTCCTAGTTAGCTTAAGTACCTCTTGCCTAATTGTAGCCTTCCACCTAATCTTAACCACTCGGACCCCTAATCTCAGCCCCAGTTTTCATTCTAAAATGCTGTGATTTATGTTACAGGGACTTGCTTTTTGTCCCCAGAAAGGAGGCGAGTTCCCACAATGTGACTCTGTAAACAGATTTGTGTCACACACACACACACACACACACACACAAACACGCATCCAGACAAAAAGCGCATGCTACATGAATTTATTTTTTGAAGGCAGGTCTCTGGTGAAGCCAGTGGCTGTAACTTCAGAATATAAAGTGGAGTTTATATCTGTCATGGTGCGTGTTCTCATGCATGCTTTTGTGTGCGACTGTGACTTTGTGTGTGTCTGCTGGGTAACGGCACTGATTATAATGTATAGATACGCTGACTTTTGTTAGAGGACAAAACACATCCTTCATAGTGCATTGCACAGACACACACAAATACACAAGCTTATGCATTTAAAAGCTGCAAAAGCATTCGATATGTCGTATATGTTGTCCCAGTGTTACATACGGTGCAAAGGAGTATATAGAGACACACAACATTATTCATTTTCAATCGCACATACACAAAGGGACATTTTGTCCTTGTGATGCTTTGATGTACGCCAAGCACCGCACTTTTTGTTGGCACCGTGTGTGTGTGTTTGTGTAAACTGCAGGACAGCGATACCGTAATTCCCCTGCTGTCCCACTGTGAACAGAGGAGCCGCATTGCCACAGTTTTACCTTTGAGTCTTTAATACATATGTAGTTTGCTCACTCTCTCTGTCACTCTCTCTCTCTCTCTCTCTCTCACACACACACACACACACATGCATGTGTATCCACACACACCTTAGCTGGATGCACATCAATCATCGCTGCAGGCTCACCTGTCATTGTCTTTGTTGTCGCTTATACAAGCATCCTTCCCCTGGTCCACTGAGTAAAGACCCCAATCAGGATTTACATTCACAGCATTGCACCTTTTTGCTCCCCTACACACCCGCTCCCACTGGGGAGGAAGAAAAAAATGCAACAGCACTCTTTTAGCAAAAAAAAAAAAAAAGGCACAGCGTTACAGTGCTGTTTCATTCCTGCAATTACAGTAAGAAAGAAGTGATGAAACAGAGAAATAAAAACACGGTCTTTGTACGAAAAAGTTGAATTGATTTGTGAATGTGATAAAAGAGGAAAAAAGAATAGATGAGGAAGGAGAGCAAGAATGAGAAATTGGGACAATCACGTCAGAAGGAGGGACAGGTGAGGTGTGTGTATGTGTGATGAGCCTGCATAAACATGCACAGTGCTGAATGCTGATCAGGAACAATAAAACCTCCATTAAAGATTTATTCTGGAGAGACAGAAGGAGGGAGGGCTGGATGATAGAGAGAGGAAGACAGGAGGTAGAGGGGGAAGAAGGAGGGAGAGAGAGCACTCAGGTTTGTGTCACAGAGTGGATTATACCAAAGACACCTCTCTCCACCCATCACTGAGACACACACACACACACACACACACACACACACACACACACACACACACACACACACAAGGGTGCTCAGACTCTGTGCATTTTAATAGCCCTGTCACCTCCAGCTATAATACCAGACAATGGCTCTTTGAGCAGACACTCGTCTTCAGAAGTATCTTTCGTGCTTCCTGACAGGCTCAAGCGAGAGCTAACTGGCTAGCTCGCCACAATTATAGATCCCATCTGTGTAGTCACAGAGCTACGGCAAACCTTAGCACAACAAGCCCGAGGCCACTCTGTCAAAATGTCACCTGGACCGGGCTGTGCTCCAGGCGAGACACCCAGGCGCTTTTTAGTTAATATCTACAATAGGATTGTGGGGGGAGGTGGTGGGGTGCGAAGTGGGGGGAAGAAAATGAAATGACATGGAGAAAATGTAATCTAATTCACCCCCCCACCCAGCCTCCCCTCCTCCAATGAAGTGTGCTGTCAGCTTTATCTCAAAACTCCAACCCCGTACACCCCCTCTTCCTCTACAAAGCCCCCTGCTTTCATCCTGTTTGAGATGATTGAGATTCAGAATTGATGCTGATGACATTTGAGCAGGTACTTTACCGTTCGACTCACTAGTGACTGACTGGTGAACTTAGAGACTGGATGAAATGCTAAATGTATGGAGAGAGGGAGGGGGAGGAAAAAAAGGGGTGGCGGAAGGGAGGAAGGAAAGAAGATGGATTTGGAATTGGAAAATGTGACTCGGTGGAGAAAAGGGGGAAAGAAAGAAGGAGACAAAGGAGAATGTTGAGGGGGGTAGAAGAGCTGGAATAAAGCGCAATCAATGGGGAAAAGGGAGTTGGGAATGTATGGAGACGGAAAGTGGTGAAGGGGGGAGGAAGGGGATGAACAGCACTGGGGAGAGATGTGAGGAGGAGGAGGAGGAAGCGGGAGATATGAGGAGGAATAAAGGGCACAAAAAGGGCAGCTAGGACAGAGGAGGGCAGGGCATCACTGGAGTGGGACATTTACTCTAAAATCAACTCACTCTCGGAGGCGTGCATTTTAATAAAGGAGAGCAACAGAATCAATAGAAAGATCCCTGCGTAGGCTTCCATGATTACTGTCCGTGTGTGTGTGCGTGAGCGCGCGTGGGAATGTGATTATCAGTGTGTTTGAGAACACTGTGACAAGGATAATTATGTTTGATTACTAAAGACCCCAGTGAGGGTTTGCATTATCAGCCACTGTGCTCCTTTGGTATTTTCCTAAGCCTTGATGGTGAGCTGCCATCGCACTGTGTGTTTTTCTGATAGCCTTGTCTTATTCCTGTTCTGTTGGACTTGTTAAACAGGAAGTTCTGCATTGTAAACAGAAAGTTTGAATTGTTGTCTGCAGTTGATAAAGGGCATTTTTGACATAAGAAGGTAGCAAACCTGCTTCACATGAGTGCTGCTCTGCTAAACTAGTTTAGTAAATAAGAAATTATATTTTTCTGTGCACTTTTACAGGGTGCAATAGCTGTTGATCAGTTTCTTTTGTTTTTCAGGGGTAATAATGGTAATTATCATTAATAAATGGGACCAATATTTGGAACTAATTTGCATTACCTGAAAATCATGGTGTCAAAATTGGTTGTAACACAAAATCCAATACAAAACTTTGTTGTATGGCTTATTTTTTGGTTGCTATTTTGCCAAACTAGCCCCTTTTAAACTAAATTTATTATATTGGGAATCATCAATAATCAGAAAAATGCTAAATAGCCAACCCTACAATCAGTCGATCCTTAGTGTATACACACAATGAACAAATGCGCCTCTAAATAGTACAACTCAGAACAGAGGGTAACAGGAATTAACCAAAGTAAATCAATAAAGACAAGATAAAGGGATAAACATAAAGACAGAAGGTTATTGACAACACATCAGAGACTAAGTCTATAAATACAAGTTCTGAGATGAGATTAAAAGATGGGAAATCCATCAGATAAAATAAAGTTGGCAGATTTTCAACCAAGTCTGTAAAAACTGTTCTTTCACCTATGAACTTAAGCAATAGAGGCCCTGCCAGAAGTTTTATAAGGATGTGCACTGGTGCATAATTAGCTGACATATCATTTAACTGAGATCCAGAGCTAAATCTGCCTGAAAAGGTGTTCTTACAATCCTAAAATCTTATATAAACTGAACATTGCACAACAGAAAGGAACTCAGGCTGGCCAAATATTCCAGATCTGGGGAGCAGCATGTTCCGACAGTGTCTGTGTTTTGTTCATGTCGTTTTTTTTTTGTTTTGTTTTTTTGTTTGCATTTATGCCATTTTTCTTTTGCTGAAAGCCGAGACTTCCGACTGAAATTTTGTTGTGTGTATGGAAACGTATACACAATGACAATAAAGAGGATTCTGATTCTGAAGTGAAGAATGAGAGTTGTTACTCTGGACCATTTGGAGATGAAACAGAGACTACTACTCCATCCATCCATCCAATATCTATACACCGCTTAATCCTCACTAGGGTCGTGGGGGGGCTGGAGTCTATCCCAGCTGACTTAGGATGAGACACTAGTAAAAATAAAAAGTAAATAGTTTGTTCATGGATTTCTGTTAACTGTTAACTGTCTAGTCAACTGTTAAAAACAAGAGACTTCTCTTTTAACGTAAAATCAGGGGAGAAAATTTGCTATTTTTGAGGTTTGAGGTAAACAAAGACATAAATTAGTGTTTATCTCAGGATTGCTATTCTGCTTCTTTCTGATCTCTCCTTCTGTTTCTCTCTTTTAGTCTTTGTTTCTTGATGTCTGTGTTTGGACGGACGGTTGCAGGTTATTAACCATTTGATCCCCATCTATTGTGTGATTACATCTGAAGCAGAGCCAGTGCCTTCTGTCCAACTGAGCCTGTTGATGGCGGCCAACACCTCCAGCCCTGTGCATGAGTCAGAGGTTTGTGTGTCATGGATCGACTGATTCCATTATGGTGCAATTGGGACCGTGGCCATTATCGCGTCTTGTTTATAGACTGTGGAATTTTCTCTCTCAATGTCATACGCACACATACACCCGCACTTACGCACGTCCTGCATTTAGGAAATATTTTCTTCATCCATAATGCACAAAGATGTAAAATCACACTATTGCTCTCATTCATATACAACAGAAGTGAGTCTACAGCTATGCAGTGTTACTTAAATATCAAATGATGGAAAAAATTCTATCACCTCTCAATGACTGTAATGTTTGTAAGCTGACAAGTAGAGTATTTCCTCACAATGAAAAATGAATAGTTTTGAAAAATGAATATACCTGTGATCACAGACAGATTGTTGAAAAAAAGTTGTGTGCACTTTTGATTTTCAGTCAGGCTATGTGCATGAAACATGGTTGTTAAAAGACTTCAGAACGGGGCACCCCTGTAGCTCACCTAGTTGAGTGGGTGTTCCATAAACAGGGGCTATAGTTCCCCAGTGCAGCTGTTGTGGGTTTGACTCCCACTCATGACCCTTTGCTGCAGGTCTCTCCCAATTCTTCTCCCCTCTTCTATC